AAGGTCAGCAGTGTGAATACTGACAAACTTATAAAGGATTTCTCACATATACAAAAGGGTCTTACTGGGTTGCCCAGGGGATCAAGAACTACTGAGCTCATGAGGTTATCTTGCCTCAGCCACCTGAGTAACTGGGACTACAGAAAATAATAGAGGGGCTGGGGACTTAGCTCAGCGGCACAGCGCCTGCCTGGCAAGCGCAAGGTCATGAGTTCGATTCCTGGTACCGGAAAAAAAAAAACAAAAAAAAGCAGCCAGAAAATAATAGAAACCAGTGGAAAGAATAACGTACTGGAGATTCATCTGGAAAAGACCACCTGTTTATTAAAAGTAATCCAAACAAAGGAAGTCTCATTTTAAAAAGGTGAAAATGAACCACTAAAAAGAAATGCTGATATGACAAAAGGAAAGCTAAAATCTCAAGAACAGGAAAATAAGAATAATATCAGCAAACTTGCACATGAAATGAAAATCAAAGAGGAGGAACATAAGATAGAAATAAGCAGACTTTATCAAGATATGCAGAAAAAAGTTGAATTAAATGAAGAAAAGCGCAAAGATCTAATAAAGAAAAAGGGGATGGAAATTTCAGAGTTAAATGCAAAGTTAGTAACTCAAGAAAAGGAAAAGCAAAATGAAATAATCAAACTACAGCTGGAGAAGCTTCAACATCTTCAAGAAGAAAAAAACAAGGAAATTGCAATTCTTCGTAAGACCAGACAGGAGTTGGAGCGGCACCTTTCTATTGGCTAAGATTCTCACCTTAAGCGTAGACGATTTTCAGTATAACAGTAAATTCATTAATTAGTATTTACTTTTTTAAAAGCATTTGAAAAATTCACTTCCATTTTCAACATAAGCCTAAATAAAAAAAAAAAAAAAGAGACACTTTAAAGATTTGTATTGAGGGGTTGGGGATTTAGCTCAGCGGCACAGGGCCTGCCTGGCAAGCACGAGGTCGTGAGTTCAATTCCTGGTACCGAAAAAAAAAAAAAAAAAAAAGATTTGTACTGAATTTATTTAGACAGATCCGTATATTGGCTGATCATGTACTACATTCTTGCTTAATGGTATTATCCATAAAGAAGTTCAGGTTTACAGGGTTTAGTTTACCTATTAAACCATCATTGACTATGGAAATACTCTCCAAGCAGTCTAGACATAGACATTTCTTTCTTTTTCCCTATAGCCATTCAAAATTCAGAAGTATGACATAATGATAGATAAAGAAAATTAGATACAAAGACTTTGTATAAAAATCAAGATATGCGTCTTAGGTATAGAAAAATTAAAGGACATTTAAAAGTGACACATGCCTTTCAAGCAAAATATTCATGTGTTGTGAAATGAAATTCACTTCTTTCTCTAGATGTTTAATCAGTTTAAAATGTAAGATTAAAAAGGCAAAGATAATAAGGTTTTGAGGGCTGGGGATTTAGCTCAGCGGCAAAAGCACCTGCCTGGCAAGCGCAAGGTTGTGAGTTCGGTTCCTGGTACCAGAGAAAAACCAAAAAAAAAAAAAAAAAAAAAAAAAAAAAGGTTTTGAGATGAGTAAAGAAAAAATAGAAAACAAAACAAAAGAATTTCCAGGGCCACGCTCGTATTTCACGAGCGTCACGGTCCCTGCCAGCCCCGCAGCACTTGACACCGTGGGTTGCAAACGTGTTCCATGCGTGAGCTCCAGGGGAACTGGACGATGAGGCTCCTCACTCATCTTTCTAAGGACTCGCCCACAGCGCTAGACTCGAAACGGCAGAAACGCTCCCCGCGCAATGTGTGGAGAGCTAGTACTCACCAAGCACTCCGCGGAAACGGAAAGCTCTTAGCCGCTGGCTCCCGCTCCTCCTGACCCATTAAATTATACAAGGGCATCGGTCATTGAAAGCTAAAATTAACACCTCGCAGGACTTGCCAGGGAGTTCTGACATCTCCAGGGGAATTTTCCATGCCCTCGTGACAGACCAGCATCTACTCATGTTGCCATGGGAAAAAAAAATAAGAACTGAGTTTCTCGCTTTGCCTCTCCCGGCATGTGCCAGACGGGCAGCGGGCTGGGCCTCCGCCGAGAAGCCCGGACCGCTCCGGTCCCATTCGCTCAGTAAGCGCACACCCGTCGCCTGTGATGTGGCCGGCGTGATGCTGGGTGCGGGGAGAGACGCGGTCCACAAGACAGACAGGAACATCTGCTGCGTCCAGAGGAGGGGGCCTCCCAGGCCAGCCCCAGGCCGCGCTGGCCGCGTGGTCTGGGGCCAAGTCCTGGAGATCACGTAGCGTCTGGGCCCTGGAGGAATTCCTGGTGCAGGCAGCACTCCGCCCCAAGTCAGTCAGGGCGGGATTGAGTTCCCAGCTCTCCCCTTACCAGCTGCGTGGCGGGAGCCTGTGGCTCTTTAGAAATGGTCAGAAAGGAAAGAGAAGCTGCTGGGATGGGCCGCTGGAAAGAGATCAGAGGGAACCGCGCTATCTACCGTTTCTTCTTTTCGTTCCTCAGGGTGTGGCCTCCGCACAGCGAGGCGCAGTGAAGGAGTGCTAGGAAGGCTGTGTGGCCGCCGCCCACGCCAAGAAGCAGAGCGTTTCGAGCAGCCCCGTGGACAGAGGTTTTAATGGGAAGTCAAACCGCACAACTTCTGGTCCCTCGCCCCCCTCGCCCCCCTGCCTGGCTTTCGAGCCACTTCCTGGGCCCTGCAGACTAGTTTACGGCATCTGGTTCCACCCTGTGGCGTCCAAAAGCACCACTTGCAGACTGGCCCCTGGCTGTGGGGTCACAGAGAGAGCAGGCACAGAACAAGTCAAAGTACTGAGTGTCGAGCGGACCCGCGTCACACGCAGTCACGTACAGACCGCAGCTCTCCCTGTGCATCCTGATCCTCTCTGCGGCAACTCCAGGCAGCTGGGCTTGGAGTTTCAGTGTGCGCCGAGCTCACGCCCTGTGATGCAAAGCTCAATCCACATCCTTGCCTTCCTTCTACTGTACTTGTTAGCTAGGTCAGGTTTTCTTTAGTATAAAGTTTTTTAGCTGAGCATGGTGATGCATGCTTGTAAATTCAGCTACTCAGGAAGCTGAGGCAGGAGGATCACTAGTTCAAGTCCAGCCTGGAGAATTTAGACTACACTCAAAACTGTCTCAAAATATAAAAAGGTCTAAGGTTGTAGTTCAGTGGTAGAGTACCACTGAGTTCAAATGCCAGAACCACAAAATTTTTTCCTGCATACTACCATAACATTAGTACATTTAATAACATTTGGGGGCTATAACAGCGTTATTTATAATAGCCAAAAGGTGGACTACCAAAATATCCATCAACAGACAAATGGATAACAAAAATGTGGCCTATATATGCAAGGGAGTACTACTCAGCCATGAAAAACAGCAAAGTACTCATATATGCTACAACATGAATGAACCCTGAAAATATTATGCTAAGTGAATGAAGCCAATCAGGAAAGACTCCATACTGTATGACTCCATTCATATGAAAATCCAGAATGAAGAAACCTATAGAGACAGAAAGTAGACTAGTGGCTGGGCATGGTGTCACATGACTGTAATCCTAGCACTCAGGAGGCAGAGGCAGGAGGATCATCAAAAGTTCAAGGCCAGCCTGGATTTCATAGTGAGCTCAAGGCTAGCCTGAACTACACAGCAAGACCCTGTTTCCAAAAATAATAATAACAAAGAAAGTGGACCCGTGGTTGGTTGCTTAGGGCTAGTGGTAGGCGAGGGGAATAAGGTTAACAGCCATGGGGCGTGGGATTTCTTTGTGAGATGATGAAAATGCTCCAAAACTGACGATGGTGATGGTTTTGCATGTATGTGAATATATTAAAACCACTGAACTGTGGGCTCTCAGTGATGAGTTGTATGGTAAGTGTTTATAAGTCCCAAAGGGGTATATTTTAAAAAAGAAAAATGGGATTTGGAGTATAATTCAGGGACACAATATGCTTAACCTGTGTGAGGCCCTGGGTTCAAGCCCTAGCATCCTCCTCAAAAAAAAAAAAAAAAAAAAAAATTAACAATTAAAAAAAATGTAAAGGGGCTGGGGATTTAGCTCAGAGGCACAGTGCCTGCCTGGCAAGCGCAAGGTCGTGAGTTCGAGTCCCAGTACCGGAAAACAAAAACAAAAACAAACAAACAAACAAAAAAATGTAAATAGGGACAATGAAAAGAAAATTGAAAGGTCATTCATAGCCTTACCAAAGATGCTCATAATCCAATTGGTCAGGAAGTCTCTTCAGGTATTTTTCTATGTACAGTTTTGTTAGGGGCTGGGGATTTAGCTCAGCGGCATAGCGCCTGACTGGCAAGCGCGAGGTCATGAGTTCGATTCCTGGTACTAGAAAACAACCCCCCCCCAAAAAAAATATATATATAGAGAGAGATAGATATATACAGTTTTGTTGTTCTACTTACTGATGATTACATAAGACAACAGTTTTTTAGGGCTGGTATAATTTCCCCCTTACATGTAAAATAATTTAGTGGCTAGGGACAGAAATTTCCTGAGCTATCTGAAGCAGAAGGCAATTGAACAGAGGGACCTCAGTGCTTACAGGCTTGTCAGAAGGACCGGGGAACAGCATCACCCAAGCTGGCCCAGCAAGCGGGTAACAGGAGCCAGCCAGCAGAGCAAGCGCTGGCACTGCCACGCCAATAATAACAGGACCGGGAAGCTGCCACTGTGACCATCAAATCCAGCAGCATTCCCTTAGCTGTGATCCAGGAGCAAAGAAGCACACTAGGGCTGATGACCTCACAGCAATGCCACTGGGACTTCTGCTCACACTGCTACAGACACACACACAAACACACACACACACACAACTATCCACTAATTCTCTCTACCAGCAGAAAACACAAAGCCAGCAGGTATGTGGTTTCCAGCTCAGTAAGTGTGTTCAACTGGCCACACTTAATTCATATTAAGAACGCTAGCTGCAAGGGAGTCTGGGAAATATAATTTTATACAAGAAAGTATTTACCATACCACATTATTAGAGCTTTTAAGACCTTTTTAATAGATGCATAATTTTTCACTGAATATATATAATCAATATCTAATTAATCATCCCCTTTCACCCATTTAGGATGGTTCATATTCAAAGCTTAATGTTATAAATATTAAGATCCTAAATTTAATATTATAAATGACACCGTGATGGTAATGCCGGTAATAATAGTTATCATTTATTGAATACTTCTTTCTTACAGGCAGTGTGCTAGATGCTTTTATATTATTTATATTAATATTTATTTACTTAAAGTTTTAAATTAAAGTTCACAACTGCCTTATGAGATTCCTATTATCTCCACAGTATGGATAACAAAACTAAGGATTTCGGACACATCAAACCAGATCTGACACCAAATCTTGCACCTTTAACCAAATACAAATACTCATGCAAAAGGCTTCTTTTGGTATGAGGCATGATTTCCATCGCACACCTAACCAGGAACAGAAAAACTAGTTCAAAGGCTGTGAGCCCCTTACGCATAAGCAGGCCAGATTTTCAGTCAAGGTCATCGTCAGCACTGAAGATGTCCTCCATGGCAGGAACTCACGCTTACCGTGTGAATGCCTGGCAAGGGGTCAGGTCCACCGGGGCCACCTGATGGGCGTCTTTGGAACGAGTGGCAGTGTGTGCAGGAGCGTGTGAGGGCTCTTCAACCCACAGAACGGCATTCCTCCTTCTGCAGGAAGTGCAAGCTGCTTCCAAGCCCAGTCGTGGACTGCACATAAAAATGAGCAACGTGCCTGCAACAGGCAGCCTTTAATCTGCTTTTGCCGCCTTCACATGGCAGGAGAGTCACCACACCAGCCTACGAGCAGGTGACCGTGAAGTGGCCTCCAGGGGTCTGGCAAGTCTCAGGTCATACATCTGAGGGACCACGCATGAGCCAGAGGTTGTACATTCTGTTAGGCAGATAAATGAAAGCCTTTTTTTTTTTCTAGCAAGCACTAAAAACTGTTTCAGTTTGGACAACTTAATTGCTTTACTAAATATTGATTCTCTACGTACATATTAGCCACCTGAAGCAAGTTAGACCGTCAACCCAATGCACTCACCACTGCCGGCCACTGAACAGCCTTTGTGAGCCCTGCCCCGCTTTTCTGCCAGGAGAGGGTTCATGCTCACATAACCACCCGCTGAAGGGCTTGGTATTGCCAGTGTCTTGCAAACCCCACACACTGCCTTTCCCTGCAGAGCAAGGCTGGTAGCAGGATGGCCGGTCCTGGCAATTTCACCAGGAAGGTACAAAAATCTGTCACTCAGCTGGCCTCTGACAGGCAGGTCTGTGTTCCAGAGAGTTCATTCTGTCTTTTTAATCATGCCTTCCACAGTCTTTATTCCCCTTTAAAAGTCCTAAGATGATAGAAGATCTTCCTTTTTGTGTAGCCTTACCCACCTCTTGGACTGTACTACTCCGGGGCCTTTTAAAGAGCGACACTGTAACTTGCATATCAATATAAAAAATATCTGGAGAAAACGCAAGTATCTCTTGGCTCTGAAATCTGTGCATCTGTATCAGATCCTCCTGGCACAGTCAGAGGAAGGCTGGGAGGCAGTGTTACCCAATAGGACCATGGTTTTATTTATTCCATATGGCTTTAGGACATGCTTGAGTATAACATGCCATATTTTTTCTGGTGATTTCTACAAATCATTTTTTAATTATGAATAATGATTTCAGAGACACTCCTGAGAAATGTTACCCGAGGTTCCCTTGACAGCCATCAAATAAAGTATGTACGGTGGAGCAGCTCCTGTGACCCACACAGAAAACCAGCTTTAAAGCATGGATTCCTCAAAGATCTATTAGTCATCTTTGCTGAGACTGAGTCTCAGGATTCACACATGCAAAGGGTGGCTGAGCAACTCAGATCAACAAAAGTAACTAGAAAAATACGTGCACTGTCAAATAATTGTTCAAAGGATTTTTGTACAATTATACATTTTCTCATTTCCCGTGGAGCCTTTGTTCTTTTCCTGTAGCTAGGAATTTTTGGGTTTTAATTATTGCTTTTTTAGCTAGGCATGGTGGTACACACCTGTAATCCAAGCACTCGGGAGGCTGAGGCAGGAGGACTGCCGCGAGTTCAAAGCCAGTTTGAGCAACATAGTGAGTTCAAAGCTAGCCTGAACTACATAGAGAGACCCTGTTTCAAAAAAAATTATTGCTTTTCTAACCCTCAGCTGAGGGTTTTCAGGTCTTAAACAATCTCTATGGCCACAGCAGGGTAGGTTCTTGCTCTATAGCTCAATCCAGGCCACTTGGAAAGCAAAATGGCTGTCCTTGATGGCACAAACCTATAATCCCAGTATTCATGGGAGGCTGAGGCAGGAGGATCACATCTGAATCCAGCCCGGGCAACTTTGCAATTTACTAAGACCCTGTGTCAAAAAAAGAAAACAACAACAACAAAAAAAAACTTATAAAAGTTTCTGGATGTAACTCACTGTAAAAGCCCTGAGTTCTATCATTAGTACCACCCCCCAAAAGAAATAAAGTAAAATATTTACGCAAGATCATGAGTATCAGTTTTCACTTACGGGCTTTGCTTTCAGCAGTTAGATCTCAAACAATCGAGCCTGGTCCCAACAAGGTACTCTGGGGCTAAGGGTGTACATCAATGGTAGAGCGCTTGTCCATGTGTAGGAAGCCCTGGGTTCACTGCCCTGCCGTACAATATGGATGGACGGATGGATGGATGGATGGATGGAGAGATACATATATAGACACTTGGAAGGACTAGATGGGTGGGCTTAGCCCTGGAAGCCCAGCCCTTTCGGCAGGCATATCTTACCTAGGACCCACATTCCTCCATTCAGGTGATAGCATCTCCAAAAACCATGTCAGGATCAGGCTAAACAGAAATACAAATAAGTCGATTAGTTGTCAATGGAGCAGCCTTCTATTGCTCGAACGGGGAGGTATTTTCTGGTTAATTACCTTAAGTAGACTTCAATAAACATTTCATAAATTATTTTTGTGTAGGTAACAAAAGCATTGATCCCCAGCCCAACTACAGAACAATTAAAGCCAATTCACATGCACATGGCTTTTCCAGTACTCACAACCTTGTTTAAATTATTTAAAAGGTGACTCTCGCTATTGGTCCAGACACTGCTGAGAGTTAGAAAGCAAGGTAAAAGCCCATCTGCTGTTTCCCACTACCTGTTCAATGAACAGTGCTGTCCCACGGGCAGGCAACTTCCTTCCTGTTTGGATTTATTCAAAAGTTTGGGGCTGGGGATTTAGCTCAGCGGCAAAGGGCCTGCCTGGCAAGTGCAAGGTCGTGAGTTCGGTTCCCGGTACCGGAGAAAAACCAAAAAACAAAAAAACAAAAAACAACAAAAGTTAGATTTCTCATTAAGCTCCCCCGGAGCCGCTGTGCCCAGCTCAGGGCCTGACAAAGGGGTAGAACTCTCCGAAATTAAACGTAAGAGTGAAACCTTTATTACGGGTTCTCACGTGGGGTAACTGGCTCAGACTGTGGGAGCAGAGTAGCATTCAGGGTTCAATTCCATCCCTCACCTCTTCTCCTCCAAAGAGCGAGAGACAGGCAGAGAAGGAGCCCTTGAAGCCGAAAATCTCTGTGGGCTGAGGAAGGCGCCCCAGGGCTCACGCCACCTATCTCCACCGCCTCCGGAGAGAAGCAGAGACAGCTCTGTGGTTACTTAAACGACTTCTTGGTCCACACCCGCGGAGTGTAAACCGTACTGGTGCAATAACCAAGATTATTTTCTTTCCACCTTCGAGAAAATGAAGAGGCTTTTGGAGTCAAAGCCAAAAATATAATTTCACTATATTTTATATAGTGAAATTTATTTTATAAATTTATTTTATTTTATTTTATAGTTTCACCTAGTTTGACTCTTTTATTTAATTTCGGAGGGTTCTACCCATTTGTCAGGCCCTGAGCGGGGCATAGCGGCCCGGGGGGAGCTTAATGAGAAACTTAACTTCTGAATAAATCCAAGCAGGGATCGAGGTGCCCGCCCACGGAGCAGCACTGCTCCATGAACACGTAGTGGGCAACAGCACACGGGTTTCTAAAACACACGGGGTGGAATCACCTTGTAGTTTATCAGCTAACCAGGGAAAATATTCTGGACTTCAGGAGAAGTGCTGTTTTAAAAAGCCTTTGGTTTTATGAGAACAGGCGCTTCGCTGGGCGCCGGCGTTCACCCGGGCACTGAGGTGTCTGGCGCCGTGGCTCTTCTTCCTCGGGAGGGGACATCCCGGGCTCCCCGACAGGCCGAGCCTCAAGCGAGATTCTGACAAATGGGAGGCGGACGCTTCGGGACGGCACTGGCCTCGGCTTCGCACCAGCCGCCGCAGGTCTCAGCCCCCTCCATCCCGCTCGGACGGAATCTGGAGAGGAAGGTCCGAGCTGGGCGAAGCGACAGGCAGGAGGCACGCGAGGCTGCACGCGCGATCCGGGACCCGCGGGTCCTCACGCGCGCCCCGCGGACACTCGCAGCCAGACCCCGCCCCCGCTGCCCAGGGCGCCCCGAGTCCCGCGCCCCACCCCGCGCGGGCGCACCCCCGAGCCCCCTTGGCCATCAGCCTGCCCCGATTGCGTTTCTAACGCTGTTGGGGATCCCAAGACTGCGGCGGGCCTCAAAGGCCGGATTGTGACGCCCGAGTTGCCCCCAAATAATCGCTCCTGAGCTCCCACCCGGCACCCCCAGCTCCTTCCGCGCCAATCCGGAGACCTCTGGGGATGGGAACCCGACCCTTCTCCCCAGCCAGCCCCCAGGCCTCCAGCCAAAATGTGGCCCTCAGCTCCCGAAGCCCGCGTGCAGCCTCCGGGCCAGAACCAGCCGGGTGCGGCCTCGGGGCGCCCACGTGGCCCCGCCGCCCCTAGGATCCCAAGTCCGGCTCCTGCGCACCCGCCTGCCTTCGCCTCGGCTCCACCCTTCTTCCCCTGAAGGGAAGAGCAAGTGTGTTCCCCGCTAGGAGCACACCCCACGGGATGCCCACTTTTCACGCTGGCCTTGAAAAGAAAGGGGAAAAATTAAAAATATAAATCCGCGCGAAGCGAGGAGGTGCGCACGCCCAGGCCGGGCCGAGGGTGCCAACCCAGCCCGCGCCGGCCCCTCGATGGCGGTCTCCACTTAACCCTCGAACAAAACGAGCCTCTTCCTACGGATTTGTGTACAACAGGGGGTCATTTTTGCTTTGCAAATAGATCCCCTAGGTGAAACGAAACGAATTTGTGGCTCCACAGAACCGTGCCAGTCCGGTACTCGGGTCAGCCCAATATTAAGGCCCGGCTGATACCATCATATGCTCTGGGGAAAGTTAAGCTCGTCGTGGTCGCGTTGTCTTTGAAGCCCAGAAATATTCATCTCAGGTGGATGGGTTTTGTTCCGGTTCTTACAGAGGATTTGGGGGGTTGGCGTTTTCTGAAGGGCTCCGGCGACGTCATTAACGAGCTAATCCGTTTTCACTCGGGCGGCACTGATTGATGTAACCACTGAGGAATTTTGGTACCACCAGACGTTGCCTCTTCCAGCCCCAGGTTCCCTGGAAGCCGTGAGGATCGCTTCTAGAGGAGAGGGTGGCCGGGAAGCCGATGGACTGCAGTTTCCCATTTGGGGTTTTGAGAGGAGGTTTCCGGCCACCAGGCCCGGAGTCCTCGGGGAGAAAGTGGCGTACGGGGGGCCCTGAGCAGCCAGAGCCCTCTCCGAGCTCCCCGCACGCCCTGGTGGTCCCCAACAGCCTCCCCAAATCCCGGAAATCCCATGTCAGAAACAGGGGCGCAAGTTTGGAGACTTAGGAGATGGGAAAGAAAATGCAGAGGAAAGGGCTCACCCCTTCTCTCAGCGTAAAATTGGAAGAATCCTGTAGCTGCCAAAAGGGAGCTCAGCGCAGCTTCTATGGTTCCCCCTGGTCCTTTCTCAGGAAGTTTGCTAATCGCTGCAATTAATTACCAGTGACACACTCTTTCTGTCCCCCTAAATGCACTGCTTTGAGAGAGGAGAAGTCCGTAGCAACTACTGCAGTCGTTAGGCGCATCTGTGGTCCCCTGGATTTCCATCCCAGGACAACCAAGTCCAAGGAGAAGGCCTGCCTGCACCCTTCCAGAATCCCAGAGAGCAGAGTCAGCTAGCAACCCAGGAGTGCCCCAGGAGGGTGGGGAATCCCCGGTTCTGCGAGACTGTCTCCCCTTCCACTGGAGGGACAGTGGCTGCCTTTGGCTCTGTCCTGCGCTCTGCAGGGATCGGTGCCTGGACCCTGGAAGGCATGTCTGCCTGGGTTTCTGCGATGTTATCAGATAATCGGACATCCCACCAATTTAAAAATACAAACTTTCTCCAAACAGCTTCCAGGGAAGGACGTCACAAAACCAAACGGGGGGTGGGACAGTGGTATTGGAATTGTCCTCCGGTCCTTTCTGGGAATAGCAATGACCCTAGGGAAAGCTGAGGCCATCTCAGCGGCTTACACACAAAAAGGAGTGAAAAACTGAAGTATTCTGGGTGTTTTTTGTTTTTGTTTTTTTTTCTTTTTTTTTTTTTGGTTTTGGTTTTTCTCCGGTACCAGGAACCGAACTCACGACCTTGCGCTTGCCAGGCAGGCGCTTTGCCACTGAGCTAAATCCCCAGCCCTTGTTTTTGTTTTGTTTTGGTATTCTTTCCATAGCTAGAACAGCAAAGATTCCCAGCCACCAAACATTGGTATCTGTGATACTGGGTCTAAGCGGGTGGGGGATCTCTGAAGAAACCACATCATACTAGTTGCCTGTGTAGACAAGGGCTTATGAATCAAACAGGTTTGGGTCTCCGGAGTCCGGGATTTCGTTGCCTCTGCTTGCTCAGGCAGCTGGCGTTCTCCGAAGCTGCCCCGCAGAGATTCCAGATCCCGGGCCAGGAATGGGAGGGTTCTCCCCTCCTCCACCTCCTGGGTGACCAGGTCTGCGCTGTCCTTCAGCCACTGCAGCAACCCTCTGGACCCCGTGGGAGCGGGGACACCTCCGAGTCCCCCTTGATTTCAAGCACCCGAGGATCCTTCCGCTGGGGACGGGCCTCGGGAGGACGGGTGCGGCCGGGGGAAGCACAGTTGCGGAGCATCTGAAGTGGAAAATCCAAGCAGATGTGGGGCAGTCCGCACCCACCCCTTTCCTCTTGAGGCTGAAGTTTCCTCCAGATCAGTTTCCTGATGGAAAATTTCTAAGGCACCAGGTACCATGCGGGGGCGCGATGGAACTGTGGGCTCCCTGCAATGCGCAGGGTCCCCCTTGCCACCTGCCCTCCTAGGGCTTCTCCTCGGACCTTGGGTGCACAGGTCCTCGGCTGTGTCCGGGCCCTGGAGCCAGGGACTGGTGCTTAGCTTAGGACAAAACATGCACCGAGAGTCTCTTTTCACCAGCCAGGCACTAGGGACATGCTGCAGGTGTCCCAACCCGCGGTCACTGCCCACGTTGCTGCTCACTCCAGTTAATGCTCCTGCTGCGCTTTTCCAGTTTGAACAGGGCTTCTAACTTCCTATCGCCCACCCATGCCGGCGGTGTCCTGATCTCCTGGCCCCAGGCTCTGGCTCAGCGAGTAAAAGCCCAGGGGTGGCCTCAACCAGAGATGAGATTTCCTTCCCCTATTCACGTAGGTGTCAACATCCTTCCCACTGGGAAACCTGTGGCGCTTGGGGCACTTTGGGTGGTGCCCTTGGGAAACCAGGCCATAGTCTTGTGCGTGGGCCGAAGTCTGTTTGGGGAAGGGGTTAATACCCTGCCTGCTGGGCCCTGCCCTGGCAGCGCCCCACACCCCTCATCTCAGCGCCTCCAAACCCTCGGCGTTGCTACCTCTCCAAGCACGCGTGCACACTTGTGTGGCAGGCGCCGGGGCAGCGGCTGCCGCCGTGAAAGCCGGGTAGTCAGAGCTTAGGCGCGCTTTCATATCAAATCTGGCAAGTTTCGTTTAAGAAAAGTTTCCATTCTCTCCCACTTCCACTTAGGCATGTTTCTGCGTTCTGGGTAATCCCTTTCAAGCTGGGGAGGAATTCTCCGGAGTCCATAATTGAGGCCGGGAAACCGTAGGGGTGGGACTCGCGTTAAATCCTCCCGAAGCCAGGGAGGTGCTGGGGCGCACGCGGGGCGCGAGGCCTGCGGAAGCCGTGGCGGGGGCGGCCCGCAGGCCCCACTCCTCGCTCGGAACCCCGCTCAGCGCCGGCCCCGGCACCGCGGTGCAGGATTCTGGACGCGACGCGGGACGGGCTGCAGGGTTTGGGCGCTGCGCCCACTTCTGAAAACCCGGGAGCCTGGATGTGCGGTTCCTCTGCGCGCAGTTCGCGTGGCATCGAGGTTTCCAAGCACTCTCCCCGCTAGCGTCGGTCACGCTGGGGACTTGGCAGGAGGAGGCCGAGCCCGTAGGTGTGCGCGCACTGCCGAGCCCGCGGAGAGAAGCCGCGTCGCCTTCAACGCCCTGGAACTGCGGACCTTGCAGAAAAGGTCAGGAGGCCTGCTGCAGGCAAGGGGATTGGAAGCTCGGCCTTCGGAGGGCGGGAGAAGGGAGCAGGTACCCGGCCAGGTGAGACAGGCTGCAGGTGAGCAGCAGGCTGTTCCGGGCCCAGCGGCCAAAGCGGCGGTACGGCGAAGGAAAATACCTGCGCGTGGCCGCCCGGGTCCCCGTGTCCTCCCGCCCGTGCCGACCTCCGCGGGTGTCCCGCAGCCCCTTGCCCTGCAGCTCTACCCCTGGGGCACAAGGCCAGCAGATCCCATAGGACCCTCACGCCCCAAAGGAACTGCCCTGCGTCCCCCGCGCTTGCCCCCCCCCGGAAGCTGCGGGGGCACCGCGTCCAGGGCTCGGACTCCTGGGAGGGGTGGGGCTTCTGTGAGTGCGGATGCACGGTGTGCAGGGGACGCTGGGTCCAAACCTGTCCCGGGCTGCAGGAGCGGGAGGGACAGGGCAAGAGCGACGAGAAGACTGACTGAGGGACTGCGCCGAGCCCGCCGGCGACCGAGTCTCCACTGCGTGCGCCTTTCTCCACCTGGTTCCCACCCCCCAGCCCCCCCAACGGCCCCCGGGGACCCTGACTCAGCGACCGCCCCTTGGAGCGCCCACCCCATGGGCCATTCCCCAAAATTGCGGCTGCGTGGCTTCGAGGGCTCTCGGATACCAGCGCGCGGGCAGGGGGCTCCGCTCCCGCCCAGAGGCCTCGAGCTGCGCCCGGCTCCCCGGCCCTTCCTCCCGCCCGCGCGCCCCCAAGCCAAGCCCTTCGCCCCGGTGTTTCTAGAAGGGAAGAACAGAAAGGTCATTTCCGGGCCTCTCGTGCCATTTCCTTGAGCAGGGGGTACGCGGATAGGGCGTCCCCTGGCCACCCCTTTCTGCCGACGCACCGCGAGGTGGAGCGGGTGTGGGCCCAGCGCGGGCTCGGAGGACTCGGTCGTTCCAGCAGGGCGCTTGGCTGGCGAGTCGCGCCGCCTCCTCTGGCCGCGCCCGCCAGTGACCTCCCCGAGATCCACAGAGGCCTTGGCACCCCTTCCGCCTTCCTCCTCCGCCCCACCCCGCCGCCCACCCGAGCACCGGGTCCCTGAGTGCTTCTCTCTCCGGATCGGGTCCCCACGCGCGCTCGGCGTACTCACCCCGACTTCCTGGAGCCCGGGCGCGCGCGGCCCTCTCGCGGGAGAGTTCCCGGAGGCAGCGCCGCGGAGGC